AGGAGGCGTTGGGGCAATGGACGTCTATGGCGGCGGTGGTGACCACGCAGATGGCTGCCTCGGGGATGCCGCTGTCTGCAGGGAACAGAGCACAGAGAGCAGCTAAGTGCTGGCGGGGAGCAGTGGGGTCTGAACCACACAGCTTCCTGCAGATCCCGCCCCCATGTACCAGTAGGAGATCTGGGGGGGAAGAGTGTGTGTCTGTGTGCGTGTGTCTGTGTGCGTGTCTGTGCATGTGTGCGCATATCTGTGTGTCTATGTGCATGTCTGCGTGTGCATGTCTACGTGTGCACATCTGTGTGCTTGCATGTCTGTGTGCCTGTGTGCATGTCTGTGTGTGCGTGCATGTCTGTGCACATCTCTGTATGAGTGTCTGTGCGTGTGTGTGCATGTCTCCTGTGCGCATCTGTGTGTCCACATGCATGCGTGTCTGCATTTGCATGTGTGCAAGCGCCTGCTTGTCTGGGTGTGTGCGTATCTGCCCAGCTGCTCTCACTGCCTGCTGCCCACACAGATACAGAGCTCCGGGGGGGGAGGGGTGTGTGTGTAGGTGTACATAGAGAGTGTTCCCCCCTCCATATCTAGATCTGTTCATACAGACGGCGGGGCGGGGGGGGGGGTATAACTGCCTCTCTACTACTCTGCTTACACAGGTACAGCCAGACATCTGACAGGCACACTACAGAGTACATAGTGTCCTCCTCCCCAGATACATAGAGAGACCTAGGGTTAAGCAGAACACACGCAATGGTCCTACAGTTATGTGTAAATGTATACATTTTGTGTGTATATATTTAGTGGAGCTACCTATAAAAAAATACATTATACCTTTACATGACCCCGTGCCTTTATTTATAGCTATACCTACACACAGGCGCGTGTGCACAGCAACACACGTCTTTATGTACCTGGCCCTGTGTATAATGGGGATGGACAGAGGGACACACAGCAACCAGCAATACTGTATGCCTATATATGTGCGAGCACATGCTACACAGTATCTACGTCTATGTGTCTCTATAGACAGTCTCACACACGTCTTATAATCTTTATATATAGAATTAGCCATACAGATGGGGGTGTTAGGAGCCCCATATATAATACAGTATGCATACATATGCACGCACAGACATTTGCTACATATACTATGTAGTCCCCCCTTTAAATACATACAATTAGCTGTCTTTAAACAGACACTTACCTTCATATATAACTAGATACATTTTTCACTGTATGTATGTGGGGAATGAATGTGTGTATAGATAGCTATAGGGCTATACATATAAAATAAATTATATGTGAAAACACACACATCCATATTATAGGTAACACATTATACACACAAAAATTGTATGTATATTCACACACATAATTGCACACACCTTTTTTACAGCATTCCCTGTGCATTATGGATAAGTATATAGAGGGATATACGTCTATAACACCATATATCTCTATATATACACACGTATATAATACATAGGTACATATACACAGTCTCTCTCGCACGCATATTTTATATACACATAATCTTTGTATATAGATTTATCCATACAGGTATGGGGACTGTGTGTGTATAAGGAGCCCCCATATGTATAACACATTACACACAGCTAGGCACACACAGACATTTCATACATATACCACATAGTACAGTCCCCTCCTTAAATACATCAAATCACCTACCTTTAGAGTACACACACTCGCGCTCTCACACACACATATGCTTACCTTTCTATATAAATACTTATTTTTCCTCAATCTGTATATACATAGGGAATGTACATATAGGGATATCCATATATTATACATTATACCTATACATCAACATACTCCTTTATTTATACAGCTTTTAAATTGCGTGCACACATATAAACACTTTTTTTTAAAAAATGCATCTCTAAGTGTACTAAGGGACTGTATATACAGGGATCTACATCTACAAGTAATACCATATATACTCATACAGACACACACATATTATATATAACACATAGGTACATATACACAGTCTCTCACCCACCCATTTTATATACACAGATTTTTCCATATAGATGTGGGAATGTGTGTGTATGAGCCCCATATATAATACATTATACCTATATATACACAGGCATTTTATATATACACACAATATAATACATAGCCCCCTCTTTAAATACATGCAATTATTTATTGTTAAATAAAACACATACATCCCTACCTTTACATACAAATACATGTATATAATTCACTCTGTGTATATATGTATTTATGGGGCAAACTCATACAAAAAGTACATCATACTTATACATCAACACCCCCTTTATTTATATAGCTATATATACAACCCTCCCTTTATATGCATCCCCCTGTGTATAATGGGGATGAACACAGAGGGATGTACATCTCTAAATAATACCGTATGCCTATATATGTGTGCACACATACTCCATACTATATATATGTGTATATGTCTCTATATACATCTTTCACACACACATTGTATATGCATGTAATATTTATACGTAGATTTATGTATATAGATAGGGGGAGGTGTCTTAGGAGCCCCATATACAATACATTATACATACATATGTATGCAGACATTTGCTACATATACTATATAATACATAGTCCCCCCTTCACATTTAATTACCTTTAAATAGAATACACACATGCTCGCTCTCTCACACATGTATGCTTACCTTTAGATAAAGGGATGTATTTCTCACTCTGTGTGTGTACAAACATAAGACAATGCATACATAGGAATATACACATATATTACATTACGCCTATACTTGAGCACGCCCCTCCATCCATATTCTATGTAATGCCTATTATATACCTAAAATTATATGTGTATGTATATGTACACCCACATAGATACACACCTTTTTAGGTATCTCCAGGTATATTATGGGGATGTATACAGAGGGACATACACCTATAAATAATACCATATCCACACACAAACATTGTATATAACACACAGGTATATATACACAGTCTCACATCTGCTATATACACAGAATCGTTAGATATAGATTTATCCGTATAGATATGGGCAATATATGTGTGTATGTATATATCTGCCCCACAGATAATATAGCTGTATATTTTCCTCTGTGTGTAGATACACAGGGAATGTATATGCAGGGATATACATATATAATACATTATACCTATATGTGAACACACATGCATGCATATAAAATTATACGTATATACGTACATACACAGACAGTCACACCTGCCCCTCCTTTTCAGCTATCTAAACATACATACGCCTCTGTATAGACTTGTACCTCTTTATATACAGCCATGCATATGATGGGGATGTATAGAGGAATATACACAAATAAAAGTAATGCTGTATATCTATATGGGTATGCACAGACATATTTTTTAGAGGTATATAATTTGTCTGTGTATAGTCTCACACACATATACACAGATTTTATATACACGTTCATATTTTTCTATGTACATTTATCCATATCTATTAAGAGACTGTCTCCATGTGTGTATATGTGATTATCCCCATTTATAACTATGTACACACATTTTTATATATTATGTATAATACCTATACGTGTATATATACACTCTGATGTGTTTTCTAATCTATAAACTATATGCATGTATATATACAGGCTCTCACATAGCCCCCCACATACATATGTATCTTTACACATATTTATCCATATCTAAAATACCTGTGTAGCTACACACACCTTCGCCTACCTGTGTATCTCTGCCCACGCACATGTAAGGAGCTTTATGCACACACACACACACACACGGGGGGATGGATGGGGATACGCCTGTCTATGAAACACCATGTACCTATCAGTGTATATACACACACATAGTTTATGCATTAAATATATACATAATACAGATTAACTAAGACGTAATACAGATTATACATAATAAAGATTAAAAAGATATGTATATATAGTGTGTCACACACTCTTTAAAAATATATATAATTATCTATTTTTAACTAATGTGCACACACCCCCTTTTTTTTTCTCTCTGTGTGTATATAGGGAATTTACATGTAGGGATGTAGATACAAAATACGTTATACCTATACATGCTATACACAGATATATCTGTATTACATGTAATACATATAAAAAATATGTGTATATACATTCACTCAAAAACATACATTTTATGTAATGTGTAAGTAATATAATTATATATAATTATATTATATATATGTACTATGTATATACACAGTTTCCCTCACACATAACTATATCTATCTTTATATCTAAATTGTATTTACATATCCGCATATATATACAGGGACAGACATATACAATACATTATACTTACACACACACACACACACACTTCATGCGTACTATAGAACATATAAAATCTATAAGTGCATAAAGTCACACACACGTCTTTATATGTATTTAGTACATATAACTTGTCTATGTATATTGCAGTTATACACTCATACACACACCCCTTCGTGTATCTTTATGTAAGACAGGTATCCACACGCAGACCTAGCTTTACATAGAAATATATACGGATATAGACATATAATACATTGCATCTCCACACACACATCCATATTTTATATATAATACATATAAAATATGTCCATATATACGCAACCACACACAGACATGTTAACAGCTGTTTACACACAGCGAGGCCAGCCTGGGACTCCCCGGTGCCTGCCTGGCCGCCCGCAGCACCCAGCGCCCGCAGCACCCGGCACGGGGTTTGCTGCC